CATAGAGTGCAGGCATCCATTACGTGGTCTGCTTCCTGAAAGACACAGCGATCATCCGCCCCATTTAGCATCTTATGTGTCTCTGACAGGATGTTCCCATTTACACCAACAAGGTTCAGGTACTCAGTCAGCAGGATATCGTAAAGTTCAGGTACTCAGTCAGCAGGATATTGTAAAGTTCAGGTACTCAGTCAGCAGGATATCGTAAAGTAAAATAAAAAATCTTCACGCCTAAGATATCAATCTAGTTCACTTTGATATACAGTAGTAGTTGTAGAGATACATTCAGATTGCAGATTAGTGAATGGTGATAAATGTGGATGTTTTGTGCATCTGCCTGCAAATGTACTGTATGCATCTGTAAATACAGTACATGTGTGATTGTATCTATGATTTATGACTATGAGCTAGTCATTCTTTAGAAGCTTTAAGCATTGGCATCATTCTCTGTTCACCTAAATAATCCCCATGCACTCGGCTGCTGAGCACCGCTTCTGGGCTCTTCAACCACAGACTGATTCATTAATATGCTCCTGTTTAAGGAGAGCATGACATCTCATCAGTTTTGGCCCCACAGCCTGCAGTCCTTTGAAGAGGACGGCTTGTGATTTGTGGCCCTCTCTGCAGCGCTTGAGGTCTGTGGAGAGGACCATAAGAGGCAGGGTGGCATGCGGGAACAGAAGCAATGCTGAAGGTGAAATGTGGAGGGAGACAACAAGGGCAAGGAATGGCAGAGCAAATGAAGATGCATGTCTGTTTGAAATGTTTCTGTAACATCACATGATGAATAAAGTGTACGATAACTCCTAGTTGAGCGCTACAGGCATTTGTCATCGTGTTTGTTAGTGTGTTTAGTGCCAGTAGGCCTAAGATGCATTTTTACTTCAAGTATTATTTCAAATAACAAGTTGTTGCTAGCGCGAGGTCTGTTTCTGTGATAGTTAGTTAATCTGAGTTTTTAAGGTAAAAAAAAGGACATTATTTCACTTTTTAACGTTTTTAAACATGAGCATCCATGTGTGAGAACTACCTCTTGCATTCTGCTGATGTCATTGCAAACAGATATAACAAATAATATACAAATATTAGGTTTAGACTAGCTAGAAGTTAATAAAAACTAGTGATCGACCAAATAATCTGTCTGCCAATAAATGCGTCACATTTATGCCATTTGAAATAATAGGCATGTCTATTTTAACAAGGCCCATTGGTGTTTTTTTAAAATACAATTTTACTTTGCCAAGAACAGAGAAGGTCACAACACGGACATTGTTTTTTGTTTCTTGTTTTAAAGTTCAGTTTTTTAAATACATTTACATTAATATAGTTGATACACTTTTATTTAAAATACAGTAAGTACAGTGGAGACAGGGTGGCTATGTTAAATTAATGTTCATCTAGGTTTAGCAATTCTATGTCTGATTTGATAATATTATTACTTTTGTATTTATTGTTTTATCCAATGCAGAAGAAAATCCCCTAAAACAACACAATAAAAACAAGAACAATATTTCTGCATTATATATATCAGCTATTTCCCCCCCCCCCCCCCCTCTCTATTCATATTGGCCTCAGCCAATTCAAAGACCAATATGGCTTGAACTCTACTATAAACCTAAGATAACTAAATGTAGTAATGGATTTATTAATAGATGCAACCTAATGTGCTTTACATTATTCATTACGCAACTTGGGCATATTGTGATTATAATCCATAAAACGTTTTTGCTTCATGTCTTAAGCCTCTGCATTCAGTGAGAATTCAACAACAATCCTGACGACATTGGTTGTGCAATTCAAGAAATTTGACATTGCCTCCTGAAACCTTGAATACTTCCTGAAACAGCCAAGAACATCTGTCTGTTGTTAGGTTCAAATGTGGACTCTTACCACTTCTGACACAAATAAGATGACGATGGTGTTCCAGGGTGTGGGTTTTTAGTTATTATACCACTGATCTCAACCCTTGCTTAGAAGAGTCACAACATAATTGCTGTTGTTTTGGGGTTTGCCGGCCTCTTCTTCCTTCTCTGTCTTTCTCATGGATGTAGATCAATATGTGAGCGACCACATCCGTGTGAGGTAATCCACTAAATAAGCATGGAGAGGACAGAGTAAGCCCTGTGCCTGCTTGATCCCTGTTGGCCTGTCTCTGGTCTTGCTCCCTGTGGCCCTTCTCACTTTAGATTATTAGTTATCAGTCCAGGCCCTAGCAACAGGGAAACATTTACACCAATGTATTAAAGCACTCAATCAGCACAGGCCATTCATTAGACCACTGTTTGTTGGATATTTCATGGAGGAAATTGAGAATTGTTGATAGAGAAGAGGAGCGAGGTGACAATGATGCTTCCTGAGCCAGCTGCTGTTTCTCTCTCGGCAGGATGAATAATCAGCCAGCTGCTGCTGTCTGGGCTGCCTCCCTGCTGACTGTCATACCTTAAAGGTCAATACAGGAAGGAGTTGTGGTTTTCTTATTACAGGAGCATTGTCTGCTGCTGGATGCAGGACACTTTGTACGTCTCAAAATTGAAGTGCTCACACCCAACTTGTTGTTTGAAGAGAGAGAGAGAGATAGACATTAATGTTTGGTATAGCCTAGTACAGGGGTGGCCAACCCGCGGCTCTCGAGCCGCATGCGGCTCTTTGCCTAGTTTCATGCGGCTCTTCAGTTCATATCGAATTTTATATGTGTGAGTTTGGGGGAGAGACACTGACTCCTGACTAGTGTTGCACGGTGTACCAATACTTGAAAGGTACCGCAATACCCTGTCGTTAATAACGTTACGATTCCTCCGTTTCATTAGTATCGGTACTTTAAGAATGACGGAGAAAAGTACTCCGGTGAGAAAGCGCTGTTTTAATAAGAGCCGTGTGTATTCAGCGCTCTGCTTCCACTCCCTGCACTGCAGCCGTGCCTGCAGTCCCGCCCCTCTCAAGCACGCTCTAAGTCCCTCCCCTCTCTCGTGCACGCGCTAGCTGCCAGAGCATGTGAGAAAACGAGAAGCATGGCTGCAAGTGGGAGTGCAACTGCCGCTGCGCCTCGGCCTGTCTGTAAGACATGTATTAATTTGATTTAATACGAATTCTTGTCATTTCTTTTATTTATTGTTCTCATTGTTTAAAAGTTTGTGTTATGGTTATGGTTCTGGTGTGAAATAAAGCACAATAATTACATTTAAGACTGTTTCCCTTTTTTTAAGAAAAGTATCGAAAAATAATCGGAATCGCAATTCTTGACTTGGTATCGAAACCAAAATGTTGGTACCGTGACAACACTACTCCTCAGAGTTAAACCTGATATTTAGTAGGTCTGTTAAGTATCGAATGCTGATAATTCTGACGTAATTTGGCCGGTCAAAGTTGTTTGGGCACGGATAAAATCGCTCCGTTACTTTGGTCCCGTGTTACTTTCGTCCCGGCTCTCCCTACGTGTGTGTGGTGTCAGGTGTCAGTATGAGAGGATGACAGCGCGTCTAATTTTGATGTGGCCCAAGAGCCAATCACAATAATACCTGCGATGCAGTGAACCAATCACCTTTATGGGGGGGGGAACCTATCGTTGATTAAACATTATCCAGTGTTTCCCCTACCATTGTCTTGGAGGGGTGTTGCACCCCGCCAACGGAGCCCCGCGACCCCCCCTGAAATTCAAGGTGTTTAAAAAATATATATAATTTTTTTTTAAAAATATATTATATAGCACCAAATTGCAAATAATCTATAACTACTGTCACTTTTCACATTGAACATGAGCTCTTTTATTAAATAAACTAAACGCTTTCATTTGAAGTTGTGAGTTTAGTGTTTTTGACCCTAAGAAACACTGATGCATTAATCAATAACAATAATCCACAGCTCCTCTCTCTGCTCCAGAGGATTTAAAAAATATATATCCCAATGCCACAAAAATGCATTAGTGACGTTGTTGAAATCTTGTCTCCAGAAAACAAAAAACTGAAACAAGCGGTATCAGTGACTGTGTGTTTGATGTGGCTCTTTGCAGTAACATAGACCAAATGTGGCTCTTAACCTCTGACTGGTTGGCCAGCCCTGGCCTAGTATAACAAGAAGAACCACAGCTTTGCCTGTCACTAACAACAAAGTAATGTGCTCTCATCTGGTTTTAATATCAAAGTGCAGAAAACACCATCATGTTGTTACAGAGGCTTGATGTAGGTTTGTTTCTATTGGGACCCAACCAGCAAATCAAGTGTTTAATCAGTTGGGCTGACGGTTACCAAAGCTCTTGTTTAGCACTTAGAGCATTTCTTGTAAATCCCACAACTATTGTTCTGGTTTGCTTGTTATGGGAAGCATACAGTACCCAAAACACTAAAGAAAACCGGCTCCAAGTGTGCCGACACCCAGATATAATGCTCATCTTGTTCTGTAAATTAAATAAACATGGTTCAGAGTTATTTATAATCTAAACAACGAGTCTTAAAAAGAAAAAGAGTCGAAGCTAGTGTCCAGACAAATTACTAATGATCATTTACAGGAGAAATACAACCAAAATATCTAAGCTGATCATAAAGAGATTTTTTTAGAGTAATACAGAAAGTTGGACAGGTGGGTAGGGATAAGAGAAGTAAAAGACATAAAGCCCAGTGTTTGAGGAAGTATTCACATCTTAACTTAACTAAAAGAACATATAATGTCATAGAGTTTCGAAGATAAAGTATTAGGAATAATGTTCTTAAAGTACTAGGTGTAGTACCCAATGCAGAACAATCTAAAATAAAAACATAAAAAGCTTTACAATTATTCAAAATCCAAAGGTAAATTGTGTATAGATGAGATTTAATGATCTCTTACTCAGCTAAATTATTAATTGTCTTTCTTTAAGCTGTTCATGAAAAATATGTCGGTTAGTTTAACCTAACAAAACATCAGGGACAGAAAACCAGCGTTTCTCTTGCTTCCGTGTAGGGGACTCAACTCTCTAATATTTTAAATGTTTTTTATTTTTAAGTAACCTCCACCCTCTTTTTCTTCAGATTGCAGGCTTCATCAACGCCATTCACCCATTTTGTGGCGACACAGAGAACCTGACAGCCTTCCGCTTCTACGCCCTGAACCCCATCGTGGATCCCTGGGTCTTCATCATCTGCCGCAAGTCTGTGTTTCGCCACCTTGGCTCTCTTCTGAGCTGCCGCTTCAGCAAAAGAGCGGTGAAGACGACGGCAAACTGCGCTCTTTCTTTACCACTTGACAATCACATACAGCGCAACCCCCCAGATGTGACAGATCCACAGACACTACTCCGGTTTACCTCTGTGACCCCACAGATGACCTCTCAACTGGAGGCAAGAGGCTTTTACGTCTCGTAAAACATGTTGAAATGAAACATTTGCAAACAGGATTCCTGCCCTCACCATTTAAAGGCACACAATGTTGACAAATCTTTGTCCATGAACTAACTTTGGAAAAACAATTGCACAAGTCTTAAACTTCCATTGACTCATGGAAACTGTTTCAAAGTATCATGGAGAGATGTCCCATTAACAAGCAGCACTGTAACATAGCACTAAGGACCACATTAAACCATGACATATATATCAGGGTTGCCAACTCTCACGCATCTGGCGTGTGACACACGCTTTCACTCTCAATCTCACGCTCTCACGCTGCCCAAACTATTCTCACGCCAAAAAACAAGAATACCGAAGACTAGAAACGGTTTTGAAAACTGTTGTGACGTAGTGATCGTCTTCTCAATAGAACATCTTTGATAATGTCTTCTGGTCAATCAGAATCAAGATAACTGCGTGGTGTTGTTGCAGGAAGTCCCGACGGAGAATACTTTTGCTGTAGTACATCTCTATACGTCGATACAACATTACCTGTTGATAGAAATCAACACGTAATGAAATAAGACCCCACGGTTTGATGATTGATAGGTGTGTGGGCTGTCTTTCATTTTGACACACAGAACAATGGGGGCTATCCACCCTTATCCACAATGTAAAGTAATTCACAGCCTCTTCCCTCTTCTCTCTGTGAGGAGCAGCAGGTTCAGCTTTCAGAACAAAGTAACAAAAAACTAAAATGGCATTAATTTTTTTAAATATGTCGTGTAGTAATAGATGTATTTATTTTTCTTCTCAAGAGAGTACCAGAATGTGTATTTTATGTTAGTATTTCAAAAAATCTCCTGGGGGAAAATCCCCCCAGACCCCCCTGCAGGCGTTGGGCTTTCAGCATCTCAACTCTTTCACCTGTGGAGAAATTGCAGAATTGGCTCCAGGTCGCCCTTTTTATTTACTACAAGACAAATGTGCCTTTTTATTTCATACAGTTCAATTTGGATTGAGACAGGGAAATAATCTAAACCTCACGCGTGGCGTTTCACAAGGGGAGCGTGTATGTAATTACATTGCAAATACTGACTTGAGCCCCACCACTGTATGGGTTAGCCCTACCATAGATCACCCAACAAAAATACTCTCTCGCAACTGCCGACCCATATTGCGCAAGCGCAGATCTAAGAACCAGTAGAAATGATAATGTATAGGCCTCTCACGATAATTAATTTTGTTGGATACATTTTCCCGGAAATTATTGCGATAAACGATAATATTGTCGGCACCGTTGTATGACCATTTTAGACCACTGACATAATGATAATATATAATAATAATTCAAGTACATCCTTTCCAACTGCTAGTCACATCCTCATGTAAATGGCAATTTATCGAGTTCATTTTTATTTATCGTACGATAAGTCAATTAATCGCTTATCAGGCACACAATAAAACAGTGGAAACAAACATGTGTTTGACTTTCATTAGTGAATGAAACTTTGTGCCCTTTATCTGTGTCCAATATTGTGTATTTGTATATATTGTATATCCTATATATATGCTAAGGTCCCGCTGCTGACACGATAGCAGTCATTTCGTGCGCATATGTGTAATTAAACCCATGATATTAAAATCTCACTCCAGCCAGGTACCCAAAGTTGGCAAACCTGATATATATGTATATATAAATATTTACTATAAATTCAGAATATAGGTCATCAGTTAATTGCTATATCGGTAAACAATATGCATGAATGTATACTGTCTTCTTTTTCTCTCAGCCTTTTCTTTATGACGGCCGGGTAACTCTACTAATGGACATCTACAGCATCTATGACATGAGAAGCAAGTCACGCTCAACATGTGAATCCATTTCAGAAAAAGTTGTCATTTGGTTCCCCTGACAAGGTGCAGTGTAAATATTATTATAATTAATGGAGAGTAGTTAATCATGTCACAAGCCTAAAAGTCTACAGCCATGTCAGCAGTCATTTTAAGGCTTCACTTTTGCAGAGCTGTGCTTTGAGCTAAATGCTAACGTCAGCATGCTGATGCTATGGTTACCCTTTCAGTTTGTCATGTTTCCTTGTTAACATTAGCTAATAGCACTGAACACAATGTACAGTACAGCTGAGGTTTAGGAATATCATAACTTCTTTAGTGTTTTGTTATAAAGTGAAAAGTTAAGGAGTTGGCACCAGTGCGTGAACATCAGGGTGTCATTCAGCAAAAGGTCAAGGGATCACCACAAGTCCTCAGGCTTCATCTTTTCAGGAACTTAAATGTGAATGATTTTATGGGAATTATGTTGCAATTCTTCTGTGTGTGAACCCACAGACTTACACTCTTGAGTGATACCGGGAGAAAAAAAAGTTGTTTTCTAGAGACAAATGTTGTATTTACATTGTACTGTTCCATGGGCACAGACTGATGGTACTTTAAAACATCTGAATGTGATATATATAATTGGAATGGATGTGAATCGTGTCTTTTTGATTGTTGTTATTTAAAAAAGTACAGTTATAAAAAAATAGCAAAGCACTCCTGAATTGCAATAAATTAGGAGCAAAACTTTTTTTAATTCAAACTAAGTTCTCTGCCTTTTTGAAAGTTTAGATCTAATGTTTGATAAAGAAATAAAACGACTACATTTTTGATTTCTCGAAACTACACCATAGAGTGCTGATGTAACCTGGTATCAATCAATCAATCAATGTTTATTTATATAGCCCAATATCACAAATGTTACATTTGTCTCAGTGGACTTCACAGTTTGTATAGAATATCAGTATGACAATAGTCCTTAGACCCTCACATCGTACAAGGAAAAACTTCCGGAGAAAACCCACAGTTTAAAGGGAAAAATGGGAGAAACCTCAGGGAGAGCAACAGAGGAGGGATCCCTCTCCCAGGACGGACAGACGTGCAATAGATGCCGAGTGTAAATTGAAAAGATAATACATTTGCAACATAGGTAGTCCAAATGTTTGGAAATGCATGTGTGTATAATAGGAAGATGAATCCACGAGGATATCCATCCAGGACTTATGATCCAGGACCACAGCCACGACTCAAGATCCAGGGCTAAATTCTATCCTGTGTTCTATAGGGAGCCAGTGTAAGGCAGCCAGAACAGGAGTAATGTGGTCCCTTTTCCTAACTCTGGTTGGTACACGAGCCGCAGCATTTTGAATCAGCTGAAGCGACTTGACTGACTTCTTGGTACAACCTGATAATAAGGAGTTACAATAATCCAGCCTTGAAGTAACAAATGCATGGACTAGTTTCTCTGCATCGTTTTGAGGCAAGATATGCCTGATCTTTGCAATGTTACGTAGATGGAAGTAGGCGGTCCTTGAAATTGATTATCAAAGCGTTACTAGTTCATTTTATTAAGACAATAATGATAAAAAGGACACTTTAGTCGCTCTAATAATTCCTATTCCTGCCTTTTCATTGTATTGCTAACACATATACTTCCTCCCCTTCTCTTTTGTGTCTCACTGATTTCTAAGCTACCTATGATGATTGCTTTTGAATGTTAAACTCTGCTGCTGCTTAACGCACTGTGAGAATGTGTTTTGTATTGTGACTTTAATGCTGTACTGTAACTGTATTTAAATGTATTTATGCCTTAATGTTGTGTTTTCTTACAATTGTGCCGGTTGTTATGGAAATAATTGTCATAGACGCCAAGATGTGACATACAGGACAAACCTTGATGTCTGTTTACCTTCTTTAAGGACACAGGCGGCTTAGCCAATAATGTTATTATTCCCATTCTGTGACCGGTCAATACTGGGATACAGATGGTCTGTGTTGTGGGTACACTGGGACACTTCCTTCTCTGTATTTGTGGACTCCAAGGTAAAATCTTCGAGGTCATAAGTGTCCGACGCAAGTAGCTCAGTGTTCCCACACTGTTTAGGCTATCTTCTCAAATATGTTGTTTACTCTCTGCGAAACCAGTTAGATGGGCTGGCAAGAGAGAGGCTCTCCAGAATTGACGTGGCAACTCTACCGTGAAGTCAGAACCTCTGACTCTTGGACTTGTGATGTGAATCCTCCGGCCGTTAACTCCAAATAAACCACCAGTGTTTGACATCAAAGCTACTGCTCCTACCGTGTCTCCTTCCTGAGTCGGTGACTCCCACTGCATAGCTACACAGAAGTTTCCTCTACACCGGTTTGGTGGAGTGCAAAGCTACTGGGATACTAGACATGAGGTATTTTTGTATTTTCTGGCTGTGTTGCACATATCATGTTTGCTTAGTCATTTGAAACGTAGTCATGCATGACCTGAGGAAAGAAAGACACGTTACCACTTGAGTTGTACATTAATTCGTATTTAAATGAAATTATAAATTTAAGAAAAAAATTCAAATGGTGTTTGTTATGCGTATCACACTTTGTTTGCGTGGAATAATATATTGATATAAGGATAAACGGTCTCACAACGTATGTCTGTGTATGTTCCCAAAGAGAAATGTTTATGCTGATGTTGTGATGTCCAACAGTCTCTGCTCTGTATCTCAGCCCATGTGTAGTTCTTGACTGTCATAAGACCTGAGCATGTTTGCTTCCCAAATAAACAGAAGATGTTTGAGTTTGGACCATAATTTGTTTTTGTCTTGTTACAACCCCTTACATCAACCTTGACTCCTGGGGAACATTTACAGTATATAACGCGCAGTGTTCTGCTTGGTTGTCCGTAGTCATGTGGAAATGTCAAAAGCTTATTTTAGTGTTTAAAACAATCAAAAAGGAAGCGTCCGTAAGTAACATTTCAAGTTTCAGAATGAAAGAAAGTTAGTAGTCATGTAATTGATTGTTGACGGGATTGTGACATTTGGATTCCTGTTATACTTTGTTTTTATTTTAATTAAGAATAAATACATGTTTGTATTGACATGTGCACAAAAGGATGAGAAATATGAATCGTTTTTGCAAATTAGACCCCATTGTGACATCATATATTTTATGGGAGTGTTGAAGCTGTAAGTAAAATATGAGTCTGGACAAGGATGGTGGTTCTGACGGGATGAAGAGAACGCTTAAGATCTGGATTTGATAAGGAGTGGACTTCTGATGAGCTTATCATGGGCACACGGTTTGATGCCTGGAGGCCGATGGGGCGGAGGAGGGCAGCACCATGAATAGCTGAGAGCTGACAGCAGGAAGGAAAACAGATTAAAAGTATGACAACATAGAATTAAGTTGCTTAACTTGAAGAAAGAACCCGTATCAGCTGATTAAGGAACAGCAGGAGAGAGAGAAAGCATTTGAATGAATTAAGCTTAAAGATAGTCTTAGAACTTTGTTAGAAAAATATCACTTGTCACCAGCTTGAGCTTCAATATCAGGATACATGTATTTATTATCCTTGCAAGAATGGAAGTAGTCATCACATACAGAGCATATGGTACAACTAGTTCCCCGAATAGTGTCCTTCACTTGCTTATATACAAGAGAGGGTGATACACAGTCACAAGATGGATAATACTGGTTCAAAGCAGTATACACGTCAGAAATGATCATGCTCGTCATATGTCTATCTCCATGGAGTCTGAATCGTCATGTTAATCGTTGTCACATGGCTATCATATGCCTAAAACAGTGAGTCCTGACGCTCTTCTAGGTAATCATACATCCTGTTACGTACACAGCTACGTAGGGCCTTTGTTATCATGTGCTACTCTGATATTGGAAGAGTACATTCAGTATTTTCCCAACAAACTTATACTGAGCTTCATTTTTATGTTCACCACTTTAAGAGAAAATTGAGAGAGCATTGCTTTACAGAAACAGTTTTTGTGGGTGAAATAGTTTTGTGAATTAATAAAATCATGGAGTCCTGATTTGAAGAAAGCAGACTGGCATACTGTATTGAATGCACAAAACTGGAAATTGATGGATACTTTATTAAAAGTGAAAGGCTCTAAAAAAAAATTGAATGTTACATGCTTACAGATAGTCACCGCATGTAATTCAAAGTAATAGAAAGTGTTAATACTGACATAAATATTTACATTTTTAACTGTTGGCTTGTGTGGGAAATAAGGAGGGATCACACAAATAAAAATGACATGCGAAACATTAACAATCAATAAGAGCTGAATGATGACAGTATGATGTAAACAGTAACATTTGTATGTATTAATATTAGTTTTGTCATCTTTAGAAACATGACTGGCAAACAAAGACCTAAAAGTCTAATGTAAAAATGATATTAAAGCAGCAGAGTATTGGCTTGTACTTTAGCGCCACTATCTGGTTAACCAGTGAACACTTCCAAAACTGTCCCCAGGCAACCACTTGTCGGTGACAAAGATGATTAGGTTATATAAATCAAAGCAGAGTGTTTGATAAAATAAGATTCACATACAAGAGTAATCAGGATGTGGCTCCAATGTGGTTACTTTAATTAGCAGCTGAGTATGCGACTTATCACAACACCAATGCAGCCAAATTGGTTAACACAAGCCACATGTTCTGAAAAATGAATTCTTGGAAATTAACAATGACATTTAAGATTTCTTGTGTAACAAAACATATGCTTGCTTTTAAATCATGGGAAAGAATAGTAAACTTAAAACCCATCTCTTTCGACTCCACTTCGAGCGATATAATTACTAACAAAGAATTGCTAACATAGCACTTATATACTAATAAAGGACTGGATTATCTAAAGCCAGTTGAGTAGCACTTGTAATGTTTTGAAATGTAACATTTGTGATATTGGGCTATATAAATAAACATTGATTGATTGATTGATTTTGGCTCTATGAAACCTGATGTACTTATATGATTCTCTTTTCTTCAAGTTTGTATCTTGTTGGTCGAATGCACTTATTGTAAGTCGCTTTGGATAAAAGCGTCAGCTAAATGCAATGTAATGTAAAGTAAAACATCTGGAGTCCAGACTGTTTACATGTGTTTTCTTTGTGTGTAGAAACAGCCATAAATTACCTATCATTTTTTCCTTTCAGGCAAGACTAATTCTGCCTGGAAACCGATATACATAATGATGGAGAATTATTTTACTATTCATACTCAAATGTCGAGTTATTTAATCCAAACTTGCTTTTTTCATTTAAAAGTTATGAATACCTATATACAGTAAGACTGAACATATAATTTAGTTTTTTTAAACCATGCCTTCACACTTTCAACTAGTTTTCTGAACTCGTTTCTACTTGACTTACAGCTAAAAAGGTATGTTACAGTAAATAAAAAGATGCCTCGGGTATTCAACAATCAAAATAAGGGTCTACAGGACTAACGATCACGATCATCCCAACAAATAAAAGCCACATGGAACACAGAACCATTCTTTTATTTTGAGTGACCTCCGAGCACATGCATACAAAAATGACAAATCACAGTATCTAAATCGACACTTAAATGATTAAGAGAAGCTCTACGAGTAGCTTCCTGCCTCGAACAGCTTGATGACGATGGCTTCATGGGGCCGCAGCTCCAGCGCTTCCAGAGATGTCTCCCCCAAACGGTCCATTCGTGTGCTGCTCACAAACACTCCGGCTTTGGGCAGGCTTGGTGCCCAGGCTGGATCCAAGGGGCGAAGCCCAGGCCCGACGTTGAGCAAAATGAGGAAGTGGACACAGCCCCAGGAGCGCAAGAAGGCCAGGATCGGGGGAGATGGAGGAGAGGGCAGGGTGGAGTTGGAGGATGAGGAGCTGGAGGAAGAATTGAAGGGCAGGAAAGTGAAGCTGCCGAACTGAAGAGCTTCTTCTCTGGCTCTGGAGTGACTGAGGGAGGTGAAGAGAGCTACAGCCAAACGCCTGTTCTTCTCCTCCTTCTAAGGTAGGGATTGTAGGGACAGTTAATATAACATGCATACTAATGCTTTGTTTCTTTCACATAGATGACTCCAAAATACAGGTTTATCTAGAGGAACACAGTGCTTTGTTACTCACTGTAATGACGTCTAATGATATATTCGTGTCTCTATGTGACGAGTTGACTTTTAGAGACACACTCTGTGAAACAGAGAAGTACATTTGGTAATGGGAAATTATAAAATGTTAAACATATTGACTTAAAGTTTTTCCTGTGTCTTACCGGTGTTTGGTGGATGTCTTCGTCATATGAGACTGCAGGTGATCCTGGCAGAGTCATCATCAACACCAGCAGTAAATTCTTCAAATCACGGGAAGCTTTACCACCAACCTGCAGAAACACATTGTAGTTTTATAATAAGTCACCAAATCAAATACATTTAAAAATGATATAGTTTAATTTACTGTCCAGCTGGGCCAGAAGTCGTCTTCTTTTGTTTGCAGCTGTGTCTCTATGGCAGCAGCGACTTCCTCTGAAGACAGGAGGTGTTGTGAAGTTGGCAGAATTGACTTCAAGACTACATCCACCACTGTGACATTGCTATGGCTAGAGTTTTTTAGCAGAGGCAGAACGTCGCTCGTCTGTTTCACCACCACAATCCTGAAGAAACACACAGATGTGGTTTAAAGTTCATTTTCAAAACAAACAAACAAACACCTTTCAACATGTATAACAATACCTTTCCTCCTCCTCACTGCCAAACTCTTTGAAGACACCTTTCCACTCCAGCAGAGTCTGAAATGTTAAAAACATAGTTGGAGGAGGGGAGTTTGGGAAACTCTTCTTGTAACAATCAAAACAAGTGCGAGAGCATCACTTTACCTTTTCTGAATACGCTGCATCTGTGTCACAGATTTCAAAGCCTGCCACACCCTGTTCCAGCCAGAACCTCAGTGCATGCTGTGGAAAAAGTATTGCCATGTTTATAAGAAATCCAGCACTGAGAATTTAAAATGTTTACCAGCATGACAAGAGAGGAGGTTTTACATGGACGGTGCCTGAGACACCCGAGGTCTTGCTAGCATTTCCCGCTTCATCTCCAAGTCCCAACAGATCCACTTCACAGACGTTTAACAGCACCTTGAGACCTGTAGGGCCAATAAAAAGCAACATTTTGTCTACTGGTGCAGGCTGTTTGAAAAGAAAAAAGGCCCTTACCCACCTGCTTTGTTGCTCTCTGCTAGCAGATGCTGGATCTGAGGCAAAGTCCCAATCCTTTCACCAGTAGCATTGTTTGTGGGATACGCCTTCTTGTCAAACAGACCCTGCAGAATTAGAGCTCCTATACCCAAGGACTTGAGGTAAGGAAGTTCATCACACAGCGCTAGGGGGTTTAATGAAAGACAAAGATAAAATGTTTTATATGGGGTTTTTGGGATGTACCAGATGCAGATAGATTATGTAGGCTATTTGCGGATGCTTATCTGTACTAGACAACATTTCTTGAACACATTAAAATTGTTAAAATTAATTTAGCACTCTGACCCACTCAACCCTGTTACTGATATATCAGAATAAAGCATCTTCATTTCAAAGTTATCTTTCTTGCATTAGATATCCAAGTGTGTCCTTGCCTTGAAAGTAGCATTACATGCTACATCTAGCAATAATTCCTGAGGTTAAAACTCAAATTAGCATTGATTTTCAACCCTGTTACTATAATTAGAGTAACAGGGGTAATTCTTCATTGGAAAATATACATTTGATGCCTAGCTGGGCAAATCACTTTTTTTGATTGTTTATTATCTGTTTTTCCAAAATACATAAAAAAAATTATAAAATAAAAGGTTCATTTTTCAAAAATGTTGATGTCTAAATTGTCCTCCAATTCTGGAATGACCCTAGACGTCTCTGCGATAAATCAAAACTGTTTATTACATTTTAATACAATTTAATACCAATGCAGCTTTTTTATCTCCATACCAAGATTGTTGCACATTAATTATGATTTGGCTCACAATATTAATGCTGTGATGTCTAAAGAGTCCATGTGGGGAATAAATCAAGTAAATGTCCACACCAATTGAAAACATATCTTCAGCTTTCATGCGAATTATGACTGTTTGGCCTCAAACTTTTTTCTCAGTAATCAAGGAGTTTATTTGTTAAAATGTAAATTGGGGTGTGGTTTGAATGTTCCTATACTGTGTATGACAGCACTATGATTGCTAAAGAATATATGAATGACAAGCGCCCTGAAGTGTCAGAAGGTCCTGAATACAAAATCTACTTTAAGACCACTTACATTTTTAACATGAAACAATAAGTATTACAGCATAGAAAACGATATACATTATCTTGCGCATGTAATATGTTTAGCTTATATTCTTTATCCTCAACAGGTCAATCTGGCCCACAACAAGACACCATAAGTGTTACAATGAAAACGTTCTTACTGCTCTAGCTTTAATATTATGTTCATACTGAGATTGCTCACTGTAATGTTCACAGTAAGACACAAGCAACATCAAGTTTGTTGTTTGGATTTGCAATGAATTCCTCCAAATGGCCACTAGAAGGCAGCAAATCCAACTATTGTATTCCTCCAAATTGGCATTTCCTCACCATTGATGCCCCATGACCCCTCGGCCTGCTTCTCCAGGGTCAGCTCTGGCTCCACCTGGTAGAACAGGGACTTCTGCCACCACTTCAGCGGCGTTACAACCGGTCGGGGGCTCATGGTTATAATGGCGATGGCGATGGCGAGCATGGCTAACCAGGCCAGCCAGAACAGCAGCACCAGGTAACACCGCACCTTCTTCCAGCCCGGACCCCCGGCTGCCAGCTTCAGCTCCTCCTTGGAGAGGGGCTGCCACTGCTGGATGGGCTCTGGTTCGTCCTCCGGGATGAGCAGCGGGGCCGACTCCGAGCCGCCCACGGTGCTCGACAGCCCAGGGCCTGCCACGCTGCCATACCCGGTGTCTCCTGCGTTCAGAGGCATCCTTTCCGGCTACGGGTAGGTAACATATAGTTATATTAAAGGGTTTATTTGTGTGGTAATGCATACAGAGACTTAAGTTACAGCAGGCAGGAGTAGGCCCATGTTGCTGAGTTGAAGTTTTGTTTGGTGGTCTAACCTTACCTTATCAGTTTGCTCCAAGTGAAGAACAATGGCACTCTAGATATAAACTCAGGTGCTGCAGGATTCAAAGTTTCTACATTAAAGTCATTCCACAATCAGCAAGCTGCTCTGCCATGACCTGCACTCAACACCCCGCTGCTGCTGCTACTACCGGGTTTACACAGGTGTTTCCATTGATTCAATTAGCTGATTTGACTTGTTACAGGTCAGGTGACATACAGCGGTGAAGTTAGTTTTAGGTTGGATATTCAACAGACATCACTGTTGATATGGAAGCTATAGAAACAAACTGAATTGAATAAAGAGTGTTGTGTCATATTTGTCCAGTGTAATCCTAAAATCTGGTATGGACATGAAAGCAATTGAAACAAACTGAAATTGTATTTTTTGAGCATAGTTTTGACAAATGTGTTTGCATAGCCATAGAGGATTGACAATAACATTGTTTTTTTGTCATTCAAAGAGTTATTTGTTATTAATTGAAATGTAAGAGTAATAGCCTCACATGTGAGCTAACTGACCCCTGATTTCCAACAGTCTGTGAAACTGAGTAGGCTAGTTGATTATCTAACCTAAAAACTAACTTCACTGCCTTCATTGATATTACTACTGGTCCTTGAGCCAAACCAAAAGCAAATGTGCACATAAACACATCAAGAAAGTAATTTAAACACAACAAAAATGTCTTCTAATGCTGCTATACAAAACAACACAATGAAATGTTATTCTACTTATATTTACTTATATATATTTAGAGATGGTGAACAGAAAACAAGCGGTTTCTCCAATTTCCAAGAGATTTGCATGCTTAAAAATAATAGGTAGACTTAATTGTGTCTCTAGGGAGGTTAACTGCATATCTACTGTCATATTTTATTTGTATATATGCTGCTGTTTTTCATATAATTCTGACATCCCTTTGATCACATGAGAATTTGAATTAGTGAGACTGATTATCCTAACATCACATCATTTGCTAGTTGAGGAGCTGTCTTGTGGCCACTATAAAACAGCTGCTTTTATTCAGCATTGCTTTGGACTGAAATGCACCAGCTGGCCAGTTCATGTTCAACTTTCTGTGAAGCAACACCAACCACTTTGTGTCCATGTTGTTTATCTAAAAAAAACACCCAAACACATATCACAGTCATTACTCACATTGTCTGTTTGAAGTTTCAGGTTCTTTTTCTGCTTCTCCGACTCTTGTTCCTCTTTATCTTGATCCACGAGTGTTCCCAGTTGAGCAGCAGCGTCCTGAATACTTCACTGAACTTCCTTTTGGAGAGTGAGGAGGTGAGAAGCACACACACCAAAAAAGCACTCTGCTCTCTCAATTAATACAGAGGTGCTGAGCCTTACCACACCCTCCCAACACATTCTAAAGAACACATGACTGCCAAGCAGCGCCCCCTGAAGACCCTCATCTGGTAGTTTTGACCCTATTTTTAGTAGTATTACTACTGCAGACAGGCTTTTGGATGAGATTTATGTTTTCTTTACTGTATAGTTTTCGTCTGAATGGATTACACACTTTTATTAAGGTTTTAATGAAGATGATATACAAGCAAAGCCTTTGCCATAGAATGAGGGCTGTAAACTTTAATGATATATTATTATATATTTTATAATAATATATTTGAGACATATTTCTCTGTATGTGTAGAAAAACTGGGAAAAAAAAGTTTAATGGGCAACTGTTTTGATAATCCATCTGAATAATTTACTGGAAACAAATTTGCTGTTTCCAGTTTCCTAATCATGTTAAAAAAAAAATGGATAAATCAAAAAATCGCAACTCATATCATATCAATTTCAAATAATTAAGCAAACTATACTATCAGTGTGTTCTGTACAAATCAGTTTCCTGCAAGACATTCATTTCTAAATCACATGCTGTTGTCACCTATCACACCTCCTCTCTAAAGAGCCATAGGCGTCCACATTCAATGACTAATTTGTGCTAATTCCTGGAAACATCTCGTCTTCTTTACCCAAGTATTTCCCTCAACTCCCCCTCCATTCCCTATAGCTCCCTGCTGCGTTCTTTCTCCTTTTGTTTCTCTCCCTCTGGCTTTCTTCTCTTATAGCACACGTTAAGTTCTTGCTGTAACAAGTCATTGCTATTCATGTCACCCTTGCTCTCTGACAGCATTGTGCAAACTAATTATTTACTGAGAGATACTGCGTTCCATCACGAGAGTCTCTGATACACGTGTAGACCACATTTGAAGCACACGTTGAAAGGTGAAGCACGTGTGTGACCTGTAGCTATGAATAAGGAGTGCCAGATCCTTTGTTTGCATACAGTTTCAGCTGTATTATCAGTGTTTCCCCTAGGATGGAGTCATAGCAGCGGTGCTAAGGCAGTAACTAAAGACGGTATATAAATATTATACAAATAACACAATACAGTGGGTTTGATTACAATTTTACTTTAATTGACTGGATCACAAGTGCTCAAAAATCAGCTTAATTTAGTGCTCATCTAAAATTGACAAAATTGCTCAATTAAGCTGGTCTCCATGGCGATATTGAAGATGGTGATGATACTGTTTTCAGGGAAACGTCTTTAGTTTAAGTCTTCCTCTGATCCTTCGGTGTCCTGAAACGCAACACATAATGTTACTGACATTGAATAACTACATTGTAGAGTTCACTGTATTTTCCTTCGGGAAATACTTTTATTAAAAATCTAATCGCATGACTCAATGTTTAGCTTAGCATCTAAAGTTGTTTGAGTAATTCTAATTTCAAAGCATCAGATCCATATGTCCTACCATAGGCTCCTGGGATCTGACAGTCATGGCGTGTTTCTGATATGAAGAGATGATGCAGTCTCGCCTGGTAAGAGAGGAAGAGTGTTATTATGCCAAAAGGTGTTCTGTTCTATTAGCTTTTCTGTAGGACATAAAGTATTTTTTTTTAAATATGATTTTGGTGGGTGGGATAAGTTGCTCAGACTCACTTGCTGGTGATGCCTCCACCTGGTGGGAGCCCGGGAATCTCTTGGGCAGCCAGAAACTTGATCACATTCAAAAGGTCAGGTTCATCATCTTTGGACTTCATCATCTGGACTATTTCTGTGAAGGTAGGGAACATTATTCTTATTAATCAAGAAGCAACAGTTGTTTGAATTTGTTGTCTTCTTGTTGGAGTAGAGAAGCACCTTCCACTTTCATATCAATATGTTTCTCCAGCTCTGCCTCCTGCTGGAGTGCCTCCTCTGTCACCTTGGGGGCGCCAGGGAAGCAGACGATGATGATGCTCATGTTATCCAAGCTGCCCTGCAGAGGGAGACAGAAATATCAAAGAAGACTGACAGGAGGCAAGGTTTAAGTGTAAACAAAGTAAGCTATTATGTTATTGATGGTTTCTAGTTACTCTGCATTTAAAGAAACATATAAGAAGTATATAAGTTACACTTAGGGACTTGTATGTTAAACTGTGCAGGTCTAAGGGAGATCAATTGTGTTTTGGACAGTATATAATTCTCCAATGTTGTCACGGTTGAGAACTTATAGAGGATGTTTATATTGCTAATTTGCAATTGATTTTTAAGTCTAAAATAATATATTAAGTAGCCAGGCCATTATTAGCTTATTTCAAATGTATGATATTAGTGTAAACACCTACAAACTATTGATGAAGTGAACTAAGCCTGTTGCTTCTCACCTCAAAGGCATGACTAGTGAGGCTCAGTGTGTACTTGAACATGAATACTTTCAACAGTACTGTTCAGTAAGCCTTGCTGGGGGAAATAAATAGCAGGCCATCCCAGCCTGGATAAAGCCTCTGAGCTTGTGTGTACTGAGCGGTAACACTGAGCTCCCTTCTACAGACTCACACTCATTCTTAATCCGAGCCATGTTTAGCATTTCTTCCATCCTATCCCATGTCTTGGGATTCCGTAATACATCTATTTATAGACGGGCTAAGGGCTCGTCAGTGTTCAGATGAGCGGTTTACTAACAAGCATTAAGAGAAGTCTTCTTACATAAATCCATCATGTCACAGAGGCCATGCCCTCAGTGTACACCTGTACCCTGTGCCCACTTCTTAATGTAAATCTTCCCAATCATATTATTATCTGTTGTGTGTTGTGCTGAGTTTGGAGTAATGCTGAGCTAAGACTACAGCAATACTACTACTGTACTATAGCAGATTCAATTAATATATTGTATGGTCTAGTCTGCTTTTAGGAAACATGTATGAGACTGATGAGACCAGTATTAAAAACAATCCAAATTGAGTTAGAATATAGAACGCCTGTTCCGAAAAACACAAAATAAGATTCTTTACAGAAAATAAACAATTAACGAGAGGTTCCTAGAGTTGATTGACAAACGGCAATTAATTCACATGAAAGTTTGAGACAACAATTGTAGAAAGGCTTCATTCAGCCACAACCTGGATTAGGCTGGGCTATATAACCTCAATGAATATATGCAACCCAGTCTCATGGCATTTCGTGTTATAGTCACAAAATTAATCTATTGATTCGTGTTCACCAACACGATTTCCCCATTTTTTTCGGGTCTCACAGAACGATTTTAAAAGCAATGTAAATAATAACAAATTAGAAGGAAAAAAAGATTTAAAAAAATACAGATTTCAGTATTCTGACACAGAACGATTTTAGAAGCAATGTATTTCTATTGGTAGTATGTTTCGTGCCTGCACCAAATAATAACAAATTAGTAGGAAAAAAAGATTTAAAAAATACAGATTTCAGTATTCTGAGGCTCTGAGCCCCATTTCTTTTCCTCGCGGATGGCAAAAAAAGTCAGACCTTATACAATTTAAAATAAAAACAATAATCGTAGTTTGATATTGAGTAAGAACATGTTTTTATGAACCACACAGCTCCACAAAGACGTGGTGCAGGCACGAAACATACTACCAATATAAATACATTGCTTTTAAAATCGTTCTGTGTGACACGAAAAAAAGGAGAAAATCGTGTTGGTGAACACGAATCAATAGATTAAATGTATTTCGTGACTATAACACGAAATGCCGTGAGACTGGGTTGATATATGATGCTTACCAGCCTTTATATATATTTTTTATTAAATAGTTCCGTTTTTTTTTTCTATTTTAAAGCAATTCATATCCATTGGTGGAACTGACACACAAATATCAAATCAGAAGTTGGTGTTTTTGTACTAAGGTCAATCACTATTCTATCCCTCACATTCAATTTAAAACAATTTTTCCAATTTGTTTGACATTCCATTGATCATTCCTTCCTGATTCTGAATCTCTTATTCAATTTAAAATGGTTGAAGAATGAATTGTAAAAAATATTGTTTTGTATCATTAACCACTCACAGAGTTAACATGTTTCTGTCAGCATCACAACAAAGCCTTGTTGTTGCTCTACCTATTGTTCCCTGCACCTTGTCTGTATTCTTGATGAATGACGCCTCACCTTATAGAGACAGAGGTCAATGACTTGGCTGCAAATGTCCTTCAGGTCATTGTTCACCTGCAGACGGCTGTGCACAAAGGCACACAGTTCCTCGTTACCAATGGCGTCCCACACACCATCACATGCTAGAATCAGGAACTCGTCTTCGGGCGTCCTCTCCAGCTCGTACACTTCTGGCTCCGGAGACACTAGCTGCTCTGTCTGCGGCCTCCAGTCCACTTCCTTGAAGTTAAAATCCCCCAGAGCTCTGGAGACGGCCAGCGAGCCGTTGACTCTTTGCAGGGTCACGGAGCCTCCAGCGTTCTGGATGCGCTCCTTTTCTCTGGGGTTGAACGGCTTGTGGTCCTCTGTATAGAAGACCACCTGGCCTTTATGGCAGAGCAAGGTACGGGAGTCCCCACAGTTGATAAAGTAAATGTGGCGTGGTGAAGTCAGGACCACTGCTGCAGTGGAGCCACTGTGGTCCCAGTTGTCCTGGCGAGCCATTTTGTGCATGTGTCGATCAATTTCTAGGAAGCCTTCACGGATGCCCTCCTTCACCTGCTCAGGGTCCTCGTTGGCTTTGATCCCTCCTGTGGGAATTGAGGGGAAAACATTATGTTTAAAGGTTCACGCCATTCTGTATAGTTTGACGTGGCCATGTTGATTGTTGAGAGGCCAACACAGATGGACACATGTACAGTGTACACTAGGGGTCTTACTTGTGTTTGATTTGTGAAATTCCAGGCTCAAACATTTAAAAGTCAGTACTAAGACATCCCTGCCTGCAGAAGACACCATCTGTGTGGTTGTGCAATTATATAGTTGAGACAACTTTGCTGATTAAGTTTAAAATACAAATTGGAGAAGACAAATATTTTTCAACAAGAAGCCTAAAAAGAACATTTGGCGATAAAAGTTAGCAGTAATCATGGTACCTTATCTTCTCTAGTAACTAGTTCATCATTAGTTTGTGGCTCTAAAAGTATCAAACTTGACATCTTAACAAAGGTCAACAGCTCAGATTTGTTTTGATCTCTGAACTCACTACTTTATTTTTATTGTATCTGTGGCCCCCAAAAATATCAGAATATCAAGAATTATTTGAGAAGGTAAGAATGTTATTTCCTTTTGTATGTGATGTTCAAGGAAATGTCACCATTAAACCTAAGTTGTTATCCAACCCTTACCCTTTAAATAGTGCCATTGGAGGCTTAGTTTGTAACTCATTTTGAATAAACAGTAGCCTTCTTTGTAATGCAAGATATATTTTGAGAAGTTAATGCAGTTTTAAATGATAATGTAAGAATAAGTTAAAAAGTTTAAATAGCCAACTGTTTCTTCCTATTAGTTTATTACACAGGTCTTTTGATTCCGTGGTCCAAAGCGACTACAGTAAGTGCTCTGTATCAACAGCCACAGAACATTTGAGAAAGTATCCCCTTACTGAAAGCATTTTCTGTGCTACATCACAACTTGAATATTAAGAATCATTGCTCTCTACCTGTTGCCAGGATGTGTCCCAGCAGGTTCGTGGAGCAGTACTTTGCCACTGTGGTGCCTGCATGTCCATCAAAAACAGCAAAGTAACCCCACTCTGTCAGCTCTCCTTCCAGCTGGGGCTTGCAGGTGTGGGCATCCTCCATCTGGGACCTCCAGCCCTGCATGTTGGCCATAGCGTAGTTCATCCCCAACTTAGATCCCCCCTCTGACACATGCTTCTCCAAGATGGGTCGATCCAAGTATGGGCTAAGCATTGAGCCGTCTTCATCAAACCTGTCCTCATCCTCAGCGCCTGTTTCCTTGGGGCCCCCCTTTGAAGAAGAAGGTGACCATCTTCTCTGTCTCTTTGGCCAGCTGGCGGAGGAAGGAGGGCACCTCCACATTGCTCGCCCGCCGGGCCGTCCTCATCGCTCCACGGAGCCGGTGTTCAAGCTTCCTGCTCGGCTTGGCAGCAGTCCGTCTTTTCCGGGTGCCCCTCTTCCGGCCCTGTGTTTTCCGCAGCAGGTCCAGCTTAAAAAGTTATCCTTAATCACCGACACGCAGGTAAACAAATATTCACTTAAAAAAGAAATAATCCTGTTAAATAAAAAACTATGTTGTTTTTTTGTTTAAAATGATCAGGCCCATTTTTGCATCTCTTTGGATATGTTCTGAGACCATCAGGTGTCTTTTCCTCTCTCAGTTTCTATTCTCTATGTCTTCCCTGCTTCTCTTCTTAACCCGTTCTGTATCAGCTGTTCTATTGGCCTATCTATTTCTGTTGACTTATCCCTCTGCTCTACCCCTCCCCTCCCACTACCTCTCCCCCTCCCTCTGTCTTTATACCACTGCTGGATAATCACTTAGCCCTCAGCACAGGTGACCTGTGTCTGCACACATACATGGATTATGATCATGCTGTTTTACAACATCACAGAGAGGTCCCATTATCAGATTTGCATAGGGATTTTATGCCTGATACAAGATATACTTAATCCAAATAATTTCATTTTGATCATTTGTTTAGTGAGAAATAGTCTGAGTCAACAATACCAAACACTTGTTTCTATTACAAATGGAACTTACTGTGGGGAATGAAGAGTCAATTGTGTTAATACCTTTAAAAAAAAGCAGTGGTCAACAATAACAACCTTGTGTCAAGGTTTACTAGCTGTGCATGATCATATCACATGATCTTTTTGTGTCAGATGTTGACACACTTATACCTGAATCACTTCCTGTCCTGTTTGTGAATTTATCATCTAAATTGTCAGAGCATGACAGCTATGTGTCTTAGGCATATATCTGGAGCTCCTGACCTACATGTAGGCCGCTTGAGGTTTAATTGCGGAAAGCACTATATTGGTGAGACTGTCCTTCTACAGCACATGTGTCAAACTCGAGGCCCGGGGGCCAAATCAGGCCCTTGGTAGATTTAATTTCGGCCCGCAGGATAATTTTTAATTACTATTAGATCTGGCCCGCCGGTATATTGCACGCACACCTTCACTCCATCCTGAGGATTTCCTCAGCTCAGAGCCTGACCCCAAACATTGATGAACTTGCACCCAAGATGAGATGCCAAGTATCTGGCTTGAACTTGCATCACAGAGCAGCAAACTGAGATTAATGGATGTTTCCTTCTGCACTTTATTTCTTCAGACAACAGGGCATGTTTGGGTTTTCTTTGAGGGAAATTGTTTTTTTGAAGCTGTTGTTGGCCTGTGGAAAAATGTAATCATAAGAAATGACTCCGGAAAAGTTGCAGATAGAGCCATAAGAAATTAATGCAACTGATTATTTCATGTTTAATGTTGTTTTTATAGGCAATAATTTAAGCTTTGTTAGTTCCAGGTTTAATATGTGCAATAAGTTCATTTCAATATTTGCAATAAACATTGAACCAGTCCGGCCCTCGACTAGTACCCATTTTTTTATTTTGGCCCACGTATTTGAGTTTGACCCCCCCTGTTCTACAGCTTTAAATAGGACTGTACCTAATGTGATTCTTCAACATCAATCCAGCTAATAGTTTTGTCTGTGTCACATTTTACATGGGTAGCAAAGTAGAATGTGTTTGGCCATGTTTCCCTTGAAACCACTTAGCTACCGGTCAGACTATGTGAGGCTTTAACAACAAAACATTTTTTCTTTTCTTTCGAAAGTTATATTGTCTCACTTAAAATGTCTTACATGTTATTATTGCCTTTATGCATTCAAAACATTTAGTTATATTTAAATAAATGTATCTCATGTAATGTACTCATTTGCTACTCTAACCATTTCCGTTGCCCCCTTTCAAACAATGTGCATCGGTTACATCTACTAACTGCTGCCCCCTGCTTTTCACTATTGCAAAGACCTCACTTCCTCTTTTGCTGCAGTTAAGTGTGTACATTATTTATACTTCGAGTTTAATGATTAATTTAGGTTTGCTCATAAAGTTCATATTTGTATTTGTGTAAAATATTTCTCATATGAAAGTGAGTGTGATATATATTACCTAAATAAAGTAAATCTGATAAACCCTCTTTCTGGTAAGCTATGAACCTGCCTGGGGCTTCAGCCTACCCATCTACAAATGCATCTCTGAGTACATAAATATTGTACGTTATACATTATTAATGACCTGTTACTCCTTCTTTCAGACCCTCGTCCTATGAGATCCTAAGATGAAATCACATGACGAGGGGAGCGAGACACAGAAAAGCAATGAATGGGAGAGGACTGCCGGCTCACAATCCTCTCACTTTTGCTGTAGCGCACATTACTACAGCTGCAGTCATAAGGATGAGAGAGGGGATGGAGAGAGGAGGAGGAGGAGGAGAGAGGGGGGAGGCAGGGCGGGGCTGCTGAGTGATAGCAGAGTGAGGAAGCTGCTCAACGGACCGCCAAGAAACAGAGGGAGGAGGAGGAGGAAGAGAGAGAGTATTTCCACAGGAGGTGAGCGCCGGCTTCAGAGGAGGTGGGGGGGGGGGGGCTTCCAGACTGGATGGGCCCAGCGATGCCTTGATGGAGTATGGGCCAGGTTTTAGGATTCTCCCACTGCCGTGAGTCTGCTTTTGATCTGCTGTTTCCTTCTGTGTTTCCATGTGGGAGGTCTTTTCTATCTCACTCTACCTTTTTTTATATGTAGCCATTGTGTTTCAGCTCAGCATCTTCTCTTGCTAACAGCTGTAAGCATCGTATGTGTTAGCTCAGTCCCCTTCCTGCCTGCTCTCCATTCCTCTCTCCTACGTTTGGTTAACACATGGCTGAATTGATGGATGCAGTGCAGAGGGAGAGGTATTCTGTTGTCCTTGCATCCCTCTGATTTGTAGAGGTTTGTGTGGCTGTGTACGAGGAGGCTTTGCAAGTAGGCATCTGAATAATGCAAGTTATTTCTCCCCTAAAAGCTTCTGTTGTGTGCTTTTATGCCTGTGTTTTATTTCATATTTTTCCTCCAACAGTCACATGATTTTCAAGTGGTTTTATAAATAATTGCATGTGTTTAAGCATGCGCAGAAGAGAGTATGCTGCACACTTAGCTCCGCCTGGGTTGATTTATTAGCTAATGTCATGCTGGCTATCTAATGTAGTGAAGGCCGGTATTGCTGCCAGCTTGGCTCTGTAAGAAAATTAGTCTGTATTTACGGTTGTCTATGACATCTTAAATCACATAAAGCAGTTCACTGTTATTACTTGAAAGGACTCGAAACAATGTACTGAAATGTTTAGTTTATTTTTATTTCACATGAGTACACATACATTGCAGATTTGGAGAGGCCTATTAATCAGAAGAATGTAAGGGTTGTATTTAAAAGGTTAACTGTATGTAAAAGCAGCGACAACACATTTCTAACAATCTTTTTCTATGGCATGTTTATGTAAAATTGTGTCTGTGTTTTCTTCCAGAGGAATATGGCTCTGTGGCTTCCACTCCAGACTCAACACCTCCCTGCACCGATGGTATGAGGAACAAAATAATTCTGTCTCACAATGCTAACAAAAATTGAAAATCCCTGCTTTCTGAAGGCTTTTTTCTGAACGTTTTGATCACTGGTACATTTTTGGGGAGGAGAGATGTTTATGCACTTATCAAAGAGAGTTTCATTCACTTGAGATGTCTCACCTCCTTTTCTCCCATCAAATGACACACCTGGCTGCTTTTATCTGACACATCTATTCATTCAAAGCACTATCCTTGTATGCCTCTGGATTACAATACACACTATTATCAGCAGTCTCTACCTGTATAAGCTGTGGTTGGGGTGACCCTATTTTTTCTTATTCTTTCTCCATTCAGGCGGAAATGACGAGTCTGAGTTGTGCGAACTGCAGACAGCCAGGGACTGGTCTGACGATGAGGAGGGGGAAGATGATGACGAGGGTCTGCTTTCATCCTCGTCCATCTGGGGCACGCCGCGGCAGAACTCCTCCGAGCTGACTTTCTCTTACATCGCCATCGCCGAGGCCGAAGCCGTGGGAGCCTCGCGACACTTCCGACGCCGGTGCGCCTCTCGGGGGAGTCGCACTCCTTTGATCCGCACGGACACCCTGGAAACACTGTTGGACTCCCCAGATGTGGACTGGGACCCTCAAGGTTTCCTCGGGCGAGAGGAAGAAGAGGAGGCCTCAGAGAGGAGAGAGCAGGAGAGGGTGGAGCAGCACAGACTAACTGAGACCATTACAGTCCAGCCCATTCCCCAAAGTCTGGAGCCAGAAACTCAGGGGAGAGACGCAGGAATTCAAAGAGGAGAGTCTCCCAGCAGTCAGATTCAGATGGAACAAAGTCCTTCCCTCCTTCAGGGTAAGAAAGAGCAAATGGGTGTGTAGGCCATGTAGTGTCGAGTTGTGCTTTATTTTGTCTGCTAACCAAAAGTTTAAGTAGTGGTTTACAATGTTCAAATGTTGGTCCAACAGGTATCGGGTTTGTCTCAGTTAATTCAGAAGGACCTTCCCAGATCTAATGATGATGATTTGACTAATGAAACGTTTTCTAATCTATAATAATATATTCAGATGTATCTTGAAATGCCCAACCTAATTATTTTCAGCCTTTTCAGAGTAACATCATTTATGTGGGTAATTATTTTACTCTACAGCGTGTAGCCAGTAATGCAGACTAACATGCTACAAGTCTGCTAATTATTTTTGTTCCCACGATGCTATCCAGAATATTTTGTTAAAGAAAGGTTATAACTGGAAAAAGTGATATATGTTTTACCTCACAGCTAAAATGTTGCAGTCCAAATACTGTGTCTCACAGCTCAAGCTGAGCATGAGCTCATGTGCTGTGATGTCCTCCTGATGGTGACATCATCTTTTGTTTCCCGGCAGCCGCAGCCTCACAGACCCCCGAGTCAGAGTCACCCATCACCAGGGAAACCATTTCAGTCAAGCTGCTCACATCAATGCAACCCAGAGGCCCGGCATCTTCGACGCCAGCT